ATGCTAAATTAGAATTAGACAGCCCAGCTGCTCCCTGAGCTGCCATGTGCAGCTTTAAAAGCTGATGCCTGTATTTATTTTCTGCCCGAATTTAGGTAGATGTTTAGCTGGTACTTTTTTATCTAATGGAGCTGGCTTGAGGTCTTCCTCCCATTGGGAAGACTCTATAGGGCTAATGGGCCTTGCTCTTGCCAGACCAACTCTTTTAAATATCTTGTCTGAGGAAAGATTTTGAGCAAAAACTCCCTAAAAGAGCACAGTAGGAAAAGAGCTCTTATGATAAACTAGTTGTACACTAGGTGGGCCATAATAGTCACACTGTGGGCAGAAGGGCACAGTTTTGTCTGCTGTGGGAGGGGACAAGGCTGCAGTGGGTCCCAGAGTGACCAGTGCTGGTCTCAGCAGCCCCAGCTCACTTCTTCTCCCAGCTGCAGACTCAGATCAACCCATCCCTGAACCAGAGGATACTGAAGAGGACGACATGATGCACTAGGGCAGCAAAGCTTAACTTCTGTGCATGCATGTGCTGGTCAGGAGACAGTGGGGCCATCACAGGAATTAGGAGGTGAGCACATCCCCACATCCCAAAAGCTCCCTGGTGCTCCACCACAGCTCCCACCCCAGACTATCCACCGTGGCCTCTTGCACATCCAAGGCAGACACAAGGGCATCCCATCAGCATGACGATGTCATACTTAGCCAAATCTCCAAGGAGTTTATAAAGCAAGGTTTAATTTCTTTCAGTCCTTTTTGTTCTCTGATGGACAAGTCCAAATGAGGGAACAGCTGTTAATTCAGCTGAAAAAGGAAGGGAGATGTAGATCAGCATCTGGAGTGTCTGAAGGTGGTTTGGTTGATCACTTTTAGCTTGCTATAATGTATGGTTGCTAAAAATAACTTGATACGAGAAGTAAGATATGCTCTTTATTTTTCTATTACTGGTGTTTCTATAATAAAGGTTGTATTTAGTCATTAGAGTGTGCATTGCTGTGGAATTAATTTATCTTTTGAGTGCTGTTTCCCTTGAACTGTTTAAAATACAAGCACAAGCTAACAAACAGGGAGGATCCTATGAGGTCTGGTCACAAACCACAGACACAGTTATGCTTATATCCTAACCATAACTTTGATGATTATTTCTTCTGTAGCTTGGGCAGCTCCTTTGACATTTCTATAATTGTTTTATCAGCAGTATTAAAAAAAAAGGCATTGAAAATATTACATGATTTTCTGTTAATCTCCTCACAACTTCTAGAGAAGCTGAATTCACTGTTTCTTTATACAGCCAGATCTCTTCTTTCTTATTGATCCAGTAAACATAGACTACAACTCACAGCAAAATGAGATGGATGCTTGTTACTTCACGTTTAAACTGTTTTCACAGATAATAATCTTACGAATTATGGTAAGAGTCTTTTGAGGAGAATGCATCCTTTCAGCATGCAGTTACGGAAACTGGAGGAAATAAATAGCTTGGAAAATACCATATATAAACTTGAGAACTCAGCAGCCGCTATCATGGTAAAAGGAATTTCCCAAAGGAGGCAGGCTGGACAAGATCATCCTTAAAGGTCTTTTCCAACCCAAACCAGTCTATGATTCTTTGTGACTCTGCTGCGATTTTGCTGACTCATATCAACAGGCAGCTTAGAATATCATAACTGCATGAGGTAAACTTCTCAATAAAAGGGGGCACTCAAAAATTTTTCAGCTTCATCTTTAAAGATTTTTCAGAGGAACTTCAAACCAAATCTCTCTAGATCTACATTTGGTGAGCAACTGCAGCCAGAGCCTGTTTGGGGTGCAGGTTCCTGTAATGCCTCTAAGGCTGTTGTTGGGGGGGTCACATCCTAGAGCTGGGCTGGCTGGGAGAGAGAAGGGTGGACAAGGACAGTGCCTTGTCAGTGGTGAGCAAGGTAAGGCTTTGAAATAGCTGAGTGAGTCTCACATGTCGTGCTCTTCATGGCTAAAGAAGCAAAGGTTGTAGATGGACTGCAGGAAAGCAGAAGATGTGGTAAAGATGGGAGAAAACCCCATCTCTCTGCTGCTGGCAGCTGATGGAGGAACTCAGCTGTTGGAGAAGTGCCAGTGAGGACAGCAAAGGGACTGTAACTTCCCTCAGTGATAAAATATCATAATTATGTTTCACTGCTCATTTCTGATGTCAGTGCACATCCCCCCATGATAGACAACTTATGGCTACAGGTCACATGTTGAAAACTTCACAAGCCCCTTGATTTGTCCCTCAGCAGAAAAGCAGGGCTGCCTGGGGATCAGGGGCAGTTTGCTCTGCTCTCTGGTACTTGCTTGGTCTGGTACAATAATAAATTTGGTGCCAGGCTTACAACTATTTAGTGAATGAGGCTCCTCTCTTATTCGTGTCAGTTTTAGAAGCTGGGCACTGGTGTGTGTGAAGTAGACCCTCAAGGGCTGCTAGATGTCTCAAAATTCTCTTTCTTGGCAAAGTTTAGTGATAGATGAAGGAAGAGTCAACCATTTTCACTTTGAAGGAAAAAAGCCCCCATCTTGTGTCCAAGAAGCACAAAGGTTTGGAATTCATTGAAGAAACCTTTACATCACAAGTGTCTAGAAAAAATATAAAGAGTATTTATTTAAGCATCAGTTTGAGCAACGTAACAAGAGTGAGGAAAGAAAGATTTCTAAGGAGTTAACCCTTCACGACTAAGGTGACAAGACACTTGCAGACTACACTTTCTTTCCCACAACCATCAGAATTGCACGCTAACAAGGCAGGGGCATGTGTGTCTGAAGTTATCAGCCACAGCAACATAATACTCCCGGGCTTTCATGGGCATCTGGGCTTGGCCACAAAATGTCACAAAACCTACATTTCTCTTTTTCTGCAAGTGTTATTGTCTATGAAGTTGGTAGATCCCAAGTACTTTATTAAATTATAATCTAATTGGCTCGGTTTCTTACTTACCTTTTTCTTCACAATTTTAAAAAAGAGTAGGTTGCATTTCCAACATGCAAAACCAAAACAAATGGCTGTTGGGAAAAACGAAAGTGTTCAATCTGAGGAAGAATATCTGTGTTTATTAGGCACACAGATCTTGGTTTTGAATCTCAGGTTTGCTGGGGCTTTCCTATACCACAAAAATTTTTGAAGATTATGCATCATGAGTCCAGCCAAAGTTTAACCTCATTTATTTTGCCATGGAATGACTTTTTTTCATCTGCTCAAGGAAAATGATTTCATATTTCAAATTATGGTTTACACAATCTGCTCATGGGAGAAAATGATAATGAGAAAACTACTCATATTAGTAATCAAAGCAGCTTTCAAAATACGCCAAACTTCCACAATAAAATTTAAAATGTTGCCCATTCAACCTACATACATCAATAAGCTCATCAGAGTGCTTCTGTCTGTGTATGTGCACGTTAAACATATTACTGGTGTCAGTGAGAAAATTATTATTTTTTCATTTCAGTGTTATTACAGTGCATTTTCAAACATCTGCACGTAAAATCTGGTGATTCCACTAGACTTTGCAAGCCCTAAAAGCCATGCTTGCAGAATGCCTTCCATGAGCAGATTTGCAATATAAATGAGTTTGTAATTTCCATTAGTTCTGTTAAAAGCGTCAACTCCTCCACCATCTCTGATTTAGGTATTATAAAATATCTATAGCTCTTCCCCATATTCAATAGTTAAACTACATAAAATGCTGCCATCTTGTGTTTAAGGATAAATTAAACATGCGACTTTAAAAATCTGGGTTTCAAAAGACAAAAGTAGGATTTACAGTGTCAGCACATTATATGAAAAAGACTGAAGCGAATGAATTATGGAAAAGTGGAAGCATCACTTAATAATTTTGCTTTCAAAATCTTATCCTTAGAGCAAGTGCTAAGCCCACCACCCCTTGCAGGGCCAAAGGACTGTACAATTTCCCCAAGCTGATTTGGTGTCTGTTTAACCTACTTGAACCACCCAGTCCCTGGTGTGAGGGGTCACCATGGCAAATTAAAAATAGCAACAGTGGAACAAGCAGAGATTGCTTGCATATGAAGAATGCTTCTTATGTAAAAAGCTTTGTTAACGCTTCAGAGTACGAGAACACATAAGACATGTTAAACGCTGCCACTGTTGCAATTAATAGCTTGTGTATTCCTTTGGTGAAAAAGCACGGCTGCTTCACCATTTGTAAAAAACAACTAGAAATACTTATTTTGACTGCACTGGGGCGGGCCAGGTGTAGCAAGGCCCTGCAGTGGGGTGAGCTGGGCCTTAAACTAACAGATATTAGGAAGAAATTCTTCCCTGTGAGGGTGGCGAGGCACTGGCCCAGGTTGCCCAGAGAAGCTGTGGATGCCCCATCCCTGGAAGTGTCCAAGGCCAGGCTGGATGGGGCTCTCAGCAACCTGAGATAGTGGAAGGTGTTCCTGCCCATGGCAGGGGGTCGGAACTGCATGATCTTTGATGTCCCTTCGCACTCAAATCTATGAGCTGCAAAGCTCCGATGCCTGAGGGAGCAGAACGGACCCAGCCGGCTTTGTGTCCATGAACAGGCGGAACGTGCTGATCCCACCGCTCCGTGACCTGCTTCATCTACACGGGGCACTTCTGATCCAGGGATCTGGACCTGAGCACAGGGACCTTGTGGTACGCTCGGATCCCCGTGCCCTTCCCAACAACCCTCACGTTCACGTGTCGCTATTCCATCCCAACCCCGGATGTCATTCCCGACGGAGCGCGCTCAGCCCAGAGCCCGCGCACCCAGAAACTCGGCAGTCCTTGGGCAGCGCGCATCGCTTCGCATTTAAAAGGAAATTTATGCTGTCTGCTGTTTGAGCGCCCACGTTCTCGGCGTCATCCAACCGCGCCATTTCCCCGCTGTCCCGGAGCGGGCACCGGGAGCGCTCGGGTCCCCTCCCCGTGACAAGCCCCGTTGCCCCTCAGGGCTTTCCCCGGTCCCCGCCCGCCGCGACCCGCCCCCGCCGCGCAGCCACTGCGGGCCGGGCAGGGCCGCACACACCCCCCGCCCACAACATGGCGCTGGCGGCGGCGGCTGAGAGGGGTCGCGGCGGCCTCGGGGTGCTGAGGCGGCTGTGAGTGCGGGCCGGGAGCGGCTGTGCCGGGCAGGGCTGGGCCGGGCCGGGCCAGGGGCAGGAGGGGCCGGCGGGAGCTGCCCACAGCGAGCCCCGAGCTGGCCTGCCGGGGGGAGGAAGGGAAGGCGGCTCCGCTGGGCGTGTGGGGGGACACCGGCGCCCCGGGCTGCTCTGTGGGAAGGAGGAGCGAAGAAGCGCCCCCGCGGTTGAAGGGATCGCAGTCGCAGCTGCCGCGGGTCCCGCGAAGCTGCCCCGGCCTCGGGGGTCTGTCCGCAGCCTGTGCTCGCCTGCGGCACCTGCGTGGTACAGGCTGGGGAAGTGAGAAGTTCGGGGAGTGCGCAAAAATCCCTCTCTCGTTATTAAAACTGAGGTTTAGTTGTTTTAGTTGTTCGACAGTGCTTCAGAATTGTCTGGACTTGATCCCAAATTCCAGAGTTGATTTATGTACTAATTAACTGCTTTCACAGTTTCATCCAGCCACCTCATCTTGGCTACCCCTTTTTGTTAGTATTAGTCGTCTGAAGTTTAGGTTTCTGAATGTCTCCACAGCTTTTCTTTCTTGCTGCCTTCACATTCTTTCTCTTGCACTTTTTCTCCATAGAAAAATTGCCATTTTAAGCGTTTCTATTTTGTGGTTGTCCACATCTTCTTTCCCAAATACTTTAAGTTGGCCTCTCTGATATATGCCAGATGTTGGCTGTTCTGTCCACTAAAAGACTTTTTTAAAGAAAAAAAAAACAAAAAACTTGACTATTTCTGTTTTAATGCTGTTAAAAAAGTAAGGGGATAATTTTTATTGTATCTAAATGAAAGCACTTGAGGAGCCATCTGGTGAAGTTTGTACAACTTTCCTTGTTGTACCTGAATACGTAAACAGATGTATCGAAAGCTTCAGAGCTATTTCAATGCTGTTGTTCTCTCACCTGAAAATAAAAGTAGCTGAGTTGTCACTTCTTCATATGCGTTTGTAACACTTCTGTGTGTTTATAATTGCACAGGCAATGGAACCAAGTACAAAGATTTGTGAAATGGGCCTCAACGATAGGTATGAAATTTAATTTCTTTGGGTACTAGGTTAAATTGCTGTTCAATGTGGATGGTTTTACAATTAGTTTTAGAACATTAGTTGCTGAAAAACGGTAGGGTTTTTTAATAAATATTCATATCTTCGTAGTTCTTGAAAAAAGTAGCCTGCAGCTGACCTAGCAGAAACCATCTTTAATGTTTAAACAACATTTTGAATAATTTTAGCTGTCATATTTAGGTAAACTGAACTTAATGAAGACTGTTTGGTTTTGTGATGTTTTCGTCTGCTGATACAAGTGTTGCAAAGTCTGTGAGAATTGTTTTTTAAGGCATAATGGTATTTAAACAAAATACGAAGGAGTAAAAGTATTTAGCAAGATGATTTAAACTCATTCTGGTGTCATGTTGACGAAAAAGATAGATTTTAGAATTCAGAGATCTATCTTCATTTTAAGTAGTGAGTTTTAAGCTACTGAGTTCTGACTGTGAAGTCTCTGGCAGTGCTGACCTTACACTTTTATCAAGTTGTAGTTGCTGTTTTGAGACTTTGTAGGAGCTTGTAAGTCACTGCTTAGAAAACCCAAACAACAAAAAACTTGATACCTTGTTCTTTCTTTGTGACTGTGTATGAATGGGGAACAGTGCTCTTCAAGAAAATGTCAACTGCTTCTACTGGGGGGGACACAACACAGGTGTTGATTGTTTCTTAGTTAGTCCGGGGAATACACAGCAAAAATATAAGCATCAGCTTTTATGTTTAAGTGGTTTTTTAGGGTTAGAATATGTTTCTTGGATTCTAAAAAAGGAAGTTCTTAAAAAAAGGCTTAAACATACTTCTGCATAAGGACTCTAAGGAAAAAAATCCAAGAGTAGCATGGAAATGCTTTAGGATGAAGTTTTGAGTGAAACAACTTCATTGTTGGAAGAAGTGCACAAACACTATAAATTATGAAAAAAGAAGTCATAATTTTAAAATTGCTGTGTTTCCAGGAATGTTTTTAAGGATCTGTTTCTTACTGTGGTTCATCCCTTTAAACAGGAGGTCACAGCATAGGGAAGATTCTCATCGCAAACCGAGGAGAAATCGCCTGCAGAGTGATGCGAACAGCGAAGAAAATGGGTGTGAAGTCTGTGGCAGTTTATAGTGAAGCGGACAGAAATTCCATGCACGTAGCAATGGTGAAGTATATTCATTGTGCTTGTGACTTATGGTCATTCACAACAGTATTTGCCATTGACAAGTTTCCTGTGAAAACAGATTTGGGTGCTGGTGCAGTTGAGTTTTACCTCTGTAGAGTTACTGCCAAGTTTTCCTTGAATTGATGAAAAGTTTGCCTGGTCTCTGTCTCAGCACCTGACAGCTATACAGGAAGGGATATTCAATTTTGGCTCTCTAACTCCAGAGCAGCCAGAGGTTAGAGAACGGACTCTGATTTTGGGAAGAAAGTCAGAATTTGTTTCACTCGGTTGAGCCTTTTCATGAGGAGAGGCAGTGATTTAAACTGCTGTCTGCCAGCAGTCTGATAAATAATATAATCATCTCAAAAAATTCAAATTTGCTAATAAACAGTCTGTGTCCTATGTATTTCTTCTCAATCAGGCAGATGAAGCATATTGCATTGGTCCAGCACCCTCACAGCAGAGCTACTTGGCCATGGAGAAAATACTGCAGGTGGCCAAGGTCTCAGCAGCACAGGTGAGTAGATCAGGACCTACAGTTTTCTCATACTTTCATGTCTTTAGTTCTTTATTTTTACCCATCTTGAGTTTCCTTGACACTACTGAAGTTTCTGAGTTTTCTAAGCTAAGCTGATACAAAAATAGGCTGGTAACGTTATTCTGTTTTAGGCTGTTCATCCAGGGTATGGTTTCCTCTCAGAAAACACAGAGTTTGCAGAGCTGTGCAAGCAACAGGGAATCATCTTCATAGGTCCACCTTCATCTGCTATCAGAGATATGGGTATTAAGAGGTATCTATTTCTGATTTTTGTGGTTATCCAATTTACAGCTTGGAAAAGCTAATTTTTTTAACAAACGACCAGTGTCATAATTGTTTTATTCCATCAGTTTTCACTGTATATTATTTTTATGGCTTTCTTCAAAGGAATAAACTCCAGGTCTATAGATATGGGATTCCAATAGACATAGAGACAATCGACCTTGTTCAGTCATTAGGATTTCAGTAATTAAATAAGTAATGATTCTGCTTTTCCAGAGCTGGGGCACTCGGCAGTCAGATTGGATGTTTTGTATGTTAGTCAAAAGAGCAGTGGAAAAGAAACACCACATCGTTGGGGTTATTGTGGCTCATGTAAAATGGGCCACCTAAGTTTAGTTCATCACTGAGGACCTTAGTTACTTAGATCAAAGAAATGCTTTTAGGGTATGAAGTATAAATCAAGAATGTGGAAATGAGGTTATTACTAACACATGAGCTGTATAATAGTAATTTGAGAGAATTAATTTTTTATCACTTTGTAATGCGAGAGTAAATTACCTCTGTAATTTAAGGAGCTCTGCATGTGTATTTGAAGTTAGAGTTGTTACGCTCAAGCGTTTGATGTGTGGTGTGAATCCAGCTGTATCATGAAAAGTGTTTTGCCTTTGTACAACTTCAGATGTAGTTTTGGCAGGATACAGTGTTGTATTTTGAAAATTTTAGGGTTTGGCCTCTACAACGTGGGTCAAAAGACAGGAAAGAGCAGTAGAACTGAAACTTACTCCTGCTTTTATGTGGAGGGCTTGGAGAAAAAAAAAAATCCCTGTTTGAAGCATGTGATTAATTACAGTCCAATCCTATGTAACCCACCTATGCAAGTAGTCCTGTTGAGGTCTACTGTGGAACTGCTTTCAAGGAGAGAGTTAGCATTGGGAACATATACAGGTTTGGAGCTTAAAGTAAGAAAAAAAATATTATTATCGTTCTAAATATTAAACTGTTCTGTCAAAGCACTTCCAAAGCTATAATGTCTGCTGCTGGCGTTCCTGTTGTTGAAGGTTATCACGGGGAAGATCAATCAGACAAGTGCCTAAAGGAACATGCCAAGAGAATAGGATACCCAGTCATGATTAAAGCTGTTCGTGGGGGTGGAGGAAAGGTAAGGAAATAATCTTCACATTCATCACATGCCATAAAGTGATCATGTCTCAGTATCTGCAACTGAATATTCTAAAAGAAATCTGAAAACAAAGAAACTGGAAAAGTACTTTTTGTTAAAATTCATTATTGATGTCCAGTCTAGCACTATGAAATCTCATTTCGTTTGTCGTGCAGTCAGCCAGAAGGTAAGTAGCTGGAATAAACTGGGAGAGTTTTGTTTGTTTCAATGGATCTCCAGCAATTCACATAAGCAGAAAAGTTGTCCTATGGATTTGTGTGAAATTAGATAACTTTAAATTGTTACTTTGTGATAACTTCTGTTACTTCTTTTGTTAACAGTTTTAAATGTTGTATAAGAAGGTATTAGAAATACCATTTAAATATTTTTGTCTAGATGCTTTTTAATGTGTGGTGAACTCCCAGTCTAAATCTGATTTTACTCTGAAATGTCTATAAAATGACATGTAGAGAATTTTATTTTCAAAATAGCTATATTTGTTTTGTAATAAACGAGTTTTTCTTTGCCAAACTTGGAAAATTCCTGTTATATCTGAGAATAAGATTGAATTTTGTACTCACCCATATCAATGAAATGATATATCTATTTTTCACACTTCTTGTGGCACTTTGAGTGGGACTTAGAAGGATTATATTACTGGAAACTGATACACAATTTTAGTAAAGTTTAAGAAAGGAGGGAAAAGAGTTATTGTTAAGCTCATTTCTTGCTGTTTGTGTGCAACAACGATTTTCATTGTATACCCTATTTTCAGACATTTAGAAAGGCTTTTGTCTGTATTTTAGGGCATGAGAATTGCTCATTCAGAAAAGGAGTTTCTGGACCAACTAGAGTCAGCAAGGAGAGAAGCAAAGAAGTCTTTCAATGATGATGCAATGCTGATTGAGAAATTTGTAGATAATCCAAGGTGAGAAACAGATATTTCAATATAAACACTATAATGTTTATTCTATGGTTGAACAAACATAACTGGTTTAGTAGTAGGATGAAAATTGGTCTTGTATGTTTTATTTGCACTATGGCAGTTGTTAATTTGGTCATATTTTTTTATAATGTATTGAATTTTTTGTAGTGACTTTGTTTTGAATGCTAGGAATTAAAATAAAATTGTTAGGGAGATATGGCAGTGCATGAGCTTTCTAAACTTAATTTACATCTAGGAAAAAAAATCACTTTATAATACTTCAACTACAGACCTGAGTCAAGCTGTTGTGGTGTTTCTGCTGCCCTCAGGTGTCCTAAACTAGTTATTTAATCTTCCTTTATTTTGATATTTAAAACAGAAGGGATAGTTTTTATTTCATGTCTGGCCTGTGAAACTGAGCTGATTTATTTTTTATAAAGAACTTCTCGCAGAGGTCTGTTTGATAGTCTTGCACTTTACATGTGTTTTTCTTAAAGCATCACTATAAAGAAAGTATTTATTTTAAAAAAACTGAGGGCCTCCTTATGCTGTCAGATGGGCACGAGAAAAATCTCATTCCTGGGGAATTTCTTTTGCCAGTATCAGAGGATTGTCACAATGGTGACATATTTTTGTTAGCTTTATACATAGAACAAAATTCTGCCGCCTAATAGTTGTCCTCTGAAATGGTGTGTTGAAATAAACAATGTTATTGCTGAGCCAGGGCTGCCCCTTGTGCATTGCTACACAGTAAATGATGGGGGAAATCATCATTATCAAATAACAGTGGAGTGGTTTTACTTTTATAATAATAACTAATAAAGAGGAGGCAGCCATGGGATATGTACCTTGTTTATCCCACAACTTACAAGACTTCAATGCAGTAGTTGGCATTTAGAATCCTGTTTCATTTGGGACATCGAGGAAGCCTAAAACAACTGAGATCTTGCATAATAGCAGCCTCACTTCTATATTTTCAGCATTTATTTGAGGGCAGACACTTAAACCTTTGAGAAGTCCTACTGGAGCACACAAGTACAAGGCCATGTACAAGTTCAAAGTCTGTTTGAGTGAAATCCGTCACGGGATTGGGTTTTTTTTGAAATACACTGAAACATTTATGTTTATGGAACAGGCACGTTGAAGTCCAAGTATTTGGTGACCAGCATGGCAATGCAGTGTATTTGTTTGAAAGAGACTGCAGTGTGCAGAGGAGGCATCAGAAGATCATTGAAGAGGCACCAGGGGTGAGCAGAAAGTTCTTAATATTTTTTATGAACTGACATATTTTTAAAGTAATTGATAATCCCCCATCAAGTTTATTTAGTTGATAGTACTTTATTTGTAATTCTTAGACCTGTTTTAATTTTGCTGCAGAAAATGTTCTTTAGGAACTTTCTTTAGGAAAAGGATTCTCAAGGAAAAATTATATAGGTGTCTTCACTACAGTTGTTAAATACTGCAAAATATTCACATATACTAGGTTTATTATCACCAAACTTAACAATCATTTATAATTTTTTCTATTATTATTATTTACAGCCAGGAATTAATCCAGAGGTTCGGAAGAGACTTGGAGAAGCCGCTGTCAAAGCAGCCAAAGCAGTGAATTACGTGGGAGCAGGTAAGTCTGTGGAGGCTTTTAACTTAATGAGAGTTGGAGTCTCAAGCAAATGGCATCTGACTGTTTGAGTATGACACACATGCCCCAAGTTTTTTGTGGTTCAAGCAAGTAATCACATAGTTAGTTCTGATGTAATTACAAATTTAAATTAGTATACCTGAGCTCAAGACCAGTGGCAGCTGAAGAAAAGGAAGAAAAAATTTCAGAGCAAATAATTCAATCAACTCGACTGTTGGAAACTGAGCATTATGAGTTAGTAACTTCAAAAAATAATTTCATTGTACAAAGAATAATCCTTTATATTCAAACACTAAAGCCTTTAAAAGAAAAACACTAATCAGTGTAAAGTCCACACCATTTCCCAGATGAAAAATAACCTCCAAGCATTGTGACTTTGTTTTCTCACTAATTTCTTTGGTTACTTATTTTTAAAAAATAATTACACAGTCTATAAATATTAACAGTACTTTAGAGAGTCCTGATGCACATTTTAAAGTGCTAATGAAATGCAGCTTTTATTGTAGAGGAGAATGCCTGCTAAACAGCACAGGCCATGTAAATGTAAAAGGAAACAACCCTTCTGTTTTCAGGCCTCAATTTCGTGACCCTTTTAGATAAATTGTATAGAATTTAATGAAATTCAGTCTATCTGATTTGGAAATAATAGTGTTTTCCTGGTATAATTAAATTAAGTGTCATAGATACTATTTGGTGAAGTGTCCTTCTGCTAAATACTTCAGGAACAGTGGAATTTATTATGGACTCCCAACATAATTTTTACTTCATGGAGATGAACACCAGACTGCAGGTAGAGCACCCAGTTACAGAGATGATCACTGGCACTGACTTGGTGGAATGGCAACTTAGGGTGAGTGTGAATTGGTTTTACATGTAGGGTTCCTCCTGAGTGGTGAATGGTGCTCTGTAATACTGCCTGTGAGAGAACAGATGGGTTTCCAGATCCTCATCTCCTGTTCAGCTAACAGGGTAGAGTTTCCTTTGCTCCAGAGGAACATCTCACATTGCTGTATTTGATGTGAGCATTGTGTAGATGCTCTGAATTTCAACCAAGTCTTCTCCCACTTGTGTAGAGAAAAAAACATTTTTTTAAGTGTATTTAGAGACCTTACAGTTTGTGCTGGTAGTGCTGGCTGCCAGTAACCCATTTTATCATCTGCTTTTGGAGCAATTTTTGTCTAATAAAATCTTGTCTTAGTTGACCAGGCTGTAACTTAAATAATTTATTTTTTGACATAACCAGTAGAAAAACATTCTACTGTTTTTTTCCATTATGTTTTAGCTGTCTGAAATATTAGGCAGTAAATTTACACAATAATAATTCAAAATCCTTTGACTGGTGGCTTCCACAAAAAAGGAAGGAGTGACTTCAGAATTAGCCTTTTATGACCTACCATTTTTTTCTCCTTGTGCTTTTTTTAATGTGCTTTCTAGTTGTTTGTGTTTAGAAGAAAGATATTTAATATTTCATACATCAGCACTCCAGAATATTGATCCTGCATTAAAGAAAAAACCTGCTGTTTTCAGGTCGCAGCAGGAGAGAAGATTCCCCTAAAGCAGGAAGAGATCCTGCTCCAGGGCCATGCATTTGAAGCTAGAATATATGCTGAAGACCCTAATAATAACTTCATGCCAGGAGCTGGGCCGTTGTTGCACTTATCCACCCCTCCTGCAGATCGTTTCACCAGGATAGAGACTGGAGTCAGACAAGGTAAAACTGAAGGCTGTGATGTATAAGAATAATTAACATCAAAATGTTTTCTTTGTAAGCATTTCCCTTTTTGGCCTAAATAAGTTAGTCTGACAGGGTGTTGCTATAAAGACAAATCCGTACAGAATTATTCTTCCTTGTAATTGTCCATGTATTTTTGGTCTATCACTGACTATTTTATTTACCTCTTTATTACCTATATCCATAGTAAAGTCCATTGGATCATGCTGCCTATATTCTCCTCACAATTTAGCAATCCTGCATTCTGATTGCAACAAAGAAAACTGGATTTGAGTAATGTTATATCTACAAAGTCTGCACTGAAGTTGTCCTTGAAATTGAAATGCCAGGTCACAACATCATGTCCTCGAAGAACTTTAATCTCTAGAGAAATGTGGCCATGAATTGTGTTCCCCTTTGATGCCATGTGGTGTCCAGTACCTTGCATTACCAACTTTCAGAAATACTCGGTTTAGTGTTACAGCATTTCTTTCATTCACATATTTCAGGTGATGAGGTTTCTGTTCATTATGACCCAATGATTGCAAAGCTGGTTGTTTGGGCTGAGGATCGGCAAGCGGCGCTGAGGAAGCTGAGATACAGTTTGCACCAATATAATGTAAGCAGGAAGAGCCCAGTATGATTTCAGATCTTGAGCTAACTTTGTGAACACCTGGAGCTAACGAAGTATGCATAAAATACTAGAGTAAAACAAAAGTGATTTCTAAGAGGGAGCCTGCATTGCCACTATCGTTTCAAATTCATTATTTGTTTGCAGAAGTTGTATTTTCTTCCTAATTTGCAAACTGTTTTTATAGATGGTGTGAGTAGAAATAAATGTGAAGTCTAGTTTTACACAGAGATTTTTAAGGTTGTGATCTCTTCAGCTGGATGATGCACCTGAGACTTTATAGAAGAGTAAGGCTAAACAACATTTTCAATTGTAGTGTGAGCTCTCTCAAACTTAAAGGAGTGGAATTTGTGTTTGTGTTTGCCTCTAATTTCTGATATGTAAAAATAACTAAATTTGTAGACTATACATGTGGTAAAGAAATATGCTGTCAGTTCTTTTTAAGAAACATTCCCTTTCCCCCCTTTAAAAACTACAGGTATTGTATCTTTCCAAAAGTGGAATTCAGAAGGTTTGACTTGACATGAGACTGAAATAATTTACACTTTTAAACCAACAACATGATTGTGAGTCAAGTATTGAAAATATTGTACCCCTTATTGCTTTAGCTACAAATGAAAATTACTTCAAGGGAAAGAGATAAATTCTGGAAAAACCCAAGAGAATTTTTTTCTTAGCAGTTCTGTCAGTACATATTGACAGTATAACATAGTTACCAGTTTCACTAATTTCTTTAAAATAATTATGTTGTTTGCTTAGGTATTTTGCAGTACAGGAAATGGATAGTATCTAGTAAATTTATAAAAGTCCCTGTTCCCTCTTGTTACTATTAAAAGATCAGATATGGGATACTGACACTATTGTAACTCATTTTTTCATAAGAAGCACTTGTCAAGTTAGGAATGTTCTTTTAAATACTCAGAGCATGCTTTTTCAAAACAGTAGAGTTTTTTCCTAAATTACCTCCCTTTACTGTTGCTGGGAAATCTTCCTCAACTTCACAGTGGACAAAGGTGGTGTTGAGAAAACAGAGTGCTTTTGGCAAGGCAGCTCTTTGGGTTTTTTATTTGGTTTGTTGTGTGGGTTTTTTTTTTCTTTTTAGAGTCATTGGTTTAACTGGTAATAAAACAGACCAGTTGAATGAATTACATTTTATTGCTGAAGTTTGTTTCGATGGTGCTATCTGAAAAAAATACTCATTTCTTATCTATACATAACTTGAGCAGAAAGCTGCATGCTCTTTCATAACTTCAGTTTGCACTATGCTTCTGTTTCTTTACAGATTGTAGGATTAAGCACTAATATTGATTTCTTGCTGAGCCTGTCAGGACACCCACAGTTTGAGGCTGGAAATGTGCACACTAATTTCATTCCTCAACACCATGATGAACTATTTCCAACCAAAAGGGCAACTCCACATGAAGTTATGTGTCAGGCAGCTCTTGGGCTTATACTGAAAGAAAAAATGCTAACAGATGCTTTTAGAGATCAGTCAGAGGGTAAGGATCATTCTTTTGCTTTATTTTGTGAGCTCATGTGCAATTACTTACTTTGCATGTTCTTTCTTTCACCTGCTTTGTGCCTGCTCAGGGTTCTGCATTCTGGCCTCTCTCAGCTATTTACAAAGACTCTAAATTTTGTGAAGGGGCAGATATGGAATGTATTCCCACTGTAATGGACAGAGTACTTCCCACAGCACTCCAGACAGGCACTCTCTGGAAGACCTTGGGATTCCTATTCAGTGACACTGCGCTCTTTGCTCTTGACCAGCACAAACTGTGACCATCTGCCTGTGCTGTTCCTACAGCTGGCCCAAGGTCTTCAGATGTAAAATTGACTCTGCTCAGGGTGGGAGGGGCAGTGGGGGTTGATGGAACCTTCACCTAAGGGTTAATTGGGATCTGCTGTGGTGTAACTGAACTCCCATTCTTGTCCTGTTCAAGGATGTGTGCATGGAGAGCAGGCAATGCCCCCTTCTTAGTGCTGCTGTCAGCACTGTGTTTTTTGTAGGTTACACAGCATCAGCTTATTCAGTGTTGAAGACTGAGGAATTGTCACTCTCAGTGACTACAGTGGTTCCTCAGTCTCTTATGTGCAATGTAAAACTATAAGTATGATGGTAATAACAGCAGGACAGTGATTTAGTGGTGTAAGTTCTGAGTATTGTGTTTTGTTGAAGTAGAATGAAAGTAACATATCTGTGTATTTTGTGTTTTAGATAAATTCTCACCATTTGCATCCAGCACTGGTAGAAGAATAAATATATGTTATACTAGAAAACTGTCTCTGCTGGATGGGGAAAACAGTAAGTTAATAAGAAAGTGTGTGGAGGGAAGGGAGGCACTTGATGGATAAAATTATTTCAACTGATGCTTGAAAATTCAGACTAAGAAACAGCAAATAGAACCAGGATGAGTTCTGTGCAATTTAAGCTGAGAATTCACAGAATTTCATGCTTAATCCACACTGTTGGATCTTGAGGAGATGTAAACCAAATTCAAATGACACCATTGTTGTTCATCATTTAAATGAATAAGGTTGACATTTTAAAAAGTGCCATTGGCTTTTTTTTTTTCACTTCATTTTAGTATGAAAGAGCTCAGAACTTTTTCCCATCACAAACTTGTTTTCTGTCCAGATAACACAATACAGATTTCAGAGCATAACTTCAGGTGCTCATCTTTGAAAAACTTATTGTGTCTCGAATTCAGTATGAAAGCTGCAGTGTCTACAAAGCTAACCTGAAAATACTTATTCTTTTCTTAGGGGTGGTAGGTCTTGTTTTTATTAAGAAACATAAACTGAATATTGTGTATATGTCATCATTCTCTAGATACTGTAATTAATCTACTCACATATACGTATTTTGTTTTATTCAACAGTTGTGGATGTAGCTGTAAGTTACAATCAAGATGGGTCATACAAAATGCAGGTACAAGTCCATTTTTTCAGATATTTCATTAGATAAAAGAATCTGTCTCTTGTAGACTTATCTTAGTATTAACTGTTACTAAAATTGCTTGGTGATTACAGTTACAAGATTCTATTTTTGGCTTACTTGCAGCCATTGCTGTAGACTGTTATTTGAGCCTGAAATTATCTTTGGTAGATGGTGGATTGGCATGGAAGAGCTACTAAAATACTGCTGAAAATAAGGCTAAGAAAAATGTTCGTATTTTCAGTATTTAAAGATCTTATTCTTCATTTTCCTCTTCCTTAAATTTGTCTTCCTAAAAGTAAGTAAGTTAGATTTAAATCTGCATTTAAAAAGACATTTTTTTCCACAGGACTCCTGCTTTATTCTGTGCATGAGATGGATCTCCTGTGGGATAAATAAAAGCTTTCTAGAGCATTATCTGTAGGATAACATTTATTTTATTTTGAAGATGGAAATTGAGACATGATTACCAAATGGGATGAGGAATCTTCCGGTCAGATAATTGAATGATACCCCATAGAATTGTCTTCTTTGTGCTGTAGAGCTCCTATAGGATACAGCTCAAGATGCTTTAAACATAGATAATTTTGTGTGTGCACATGTGATAGTCTCCAGTTGTGTGGCTTATGGGGGTTGTGTTTTGCTGAGTGTTAAATATCCTCCTTGTATCACTTGTAGTCCAGTGTTTTTTCTCTCAGATTTGTCACCCAGAATGAAAGCATCTGGAGAATGCAGTCTCTGTAGTTCAGCTTCTTGTTCCCAATATTCAGAAAAGGGAAACTGGGAGAATAAGTATTTATGAACTGCTTAGACTGTGTAGAGATGAGCCTACCAAAAAAATAATGAGAAAACTACTGTGCTTTCGAGGGTATAACAGCATCTTGGGTAACTCACACCCTTATTTCTATGGATACAAAGACTGAGATAACCCACATCCCTCCAGTAATACCCAGGTTATTTTGGGTGTATTAGTTACATATGTGATGCTGCAGAGCTCTTACACTCGAGGTTTGTCTCTTGTAACTCATGTCAGCAAAAGTAAAGAGAGGCTGGAAGGGATGTGGGGGCCATTTGTGGAGGGAAGTGGAGCTGGGGAGAATGTAGACTAGGGAAGAAGCAGGAACAGGAGTTGAGGTAGAAATGGAGAGAAGCTGGAGATAAAGGATGGAGAAACATAATTGGGAACTGATTATGAGGAGGACGTTGCCTCTGCAGTGTTACAAAACCTGTGCTGAGGCCAATCAATTAGAGCAGGTTGCTGGGCCATGGATCTGGCAAGCACTCAGTGCTTCCAGGGGTGTTGCCCTAATTTGTGCCCCTGCTCAGGATACTCATCAAGCAAATGATTTTCCTCTGAGGGATAAGTATCAGATCAACAGTATCTTTTCAATGCATGTTTTCAGTGGAAGAACAGTATGTGACTACCTAATAAAAACTGAGTTTTATTTCTACTCCTACCACCCCGAAAGACCAGCAAGTCTCTGATCCTTTGCTCGGTGATGGTAGGCTTAGAAGCAAACATATCAGTTAAATGTAGTGCACTTATGTTTGTATTCTTGCAGTCTTTATATGCTGAGGTTGTGGCAGAGGTGCAGTTTCCACTGATGTGGATGAAGGGTTACTCACAAATAAATGACCTTTCCACCTGGTCTTTCTTGTGCAGTTTTGGTGTCTAACTGGCACTGTTTCCATTACTGCTCTGCTCCTTTGTAGGTTTACTGAATATGTTGTAGTTCTTGTATTGCAAGCTTCCAAGGCAGAGGAAGTTACCTGTGTTCTGGAAAGCATTGTGGAACGTGATGTCAGCTGAGTAGTATGGATTTTCAGTTTGAAATCAAGATGCTACAACAAATCAAAAATATTGGATGTTAGCAGCATCACTAAACTGATAATTCTGGGGTTGTTTTTGTTCTTCTTGAGAGATAGTATATCTTTGTTTAAGATAAAAATTGTCTTGGGGGAACAATTTTCTGAGCTGTTTGTATTGGATACAGAATACAGTCTCTTAACTGAAAAATAAAGGATACATAAGATTTAAAAATATTTTTTCTTTTAATTCCAAAATTGTCTATGAAGAATCACAGGCTATGAGTGCACAAATGCTGTCTTTTGGTTTATTGGTAATGAAGGGTTAACCTTTGTCCTTATAAAAGCATTGAACTTTCAGATTCAAGATAAAACATTCCTGATTTCTGGAGAGATGTTGAATGAAGGTGATTCACTTTACTTGAGGTCTTCAGTAAATGGAACAGTGTGTAAGGCCAAATTGGTCATTTTGGACAACACCATTTATCTCTTCTTTCCGGTAAAGTTCCTTTCTTTATTATCACAAGTTTAAAATTTCAGAATTCTTTCCATGAAAATGAGGAATATAAATTGCAAGAGAATGTGAATCATAATTTCAGTTTCTTACTTTGACCTGTAATGTTTTGATACTTGCTGGATTTATAGGTCTAATTAGAAGTTCACTGCTTATGGTCCATGAGTGAGAAAATTACTTTTAGAAAGATAAAATACAATGAGGTGAATTGCAAATGATGGCTTAGGAGGAGGGAACACAAAATATTAAAATTGTCAGGTATTTAAGTTTGTCATAGAACAGTAGCAATTAGTTCAAACTGAGAATTATTTGAAAGTGCTTGTAACTGTTATTTTAATTTCATTTTTTTAAATTATATGACAAGAAATAAATTGATACTGGTCTGAGGAAAGATGACTTCAGGTAATATTAAAAGAATGGAATTAGGAGCTACTGTAGCATTATATCTGTTGCATATATGCAAATGGCATTTGAAAGAAGATGTACCCTAATTTCCATTATTAGGCTGGTAAATTTTTATATGCAGTTCAAAAGACTGCAAGGCCCTAAAGTAACTCAATAAAAATGTAATCTAAGTACGTAAATTATTATGTGTTAGTTTCAGTAATTAACCTCTAGCCCTGAGCCCCTTAAGACTTTCTGCAGAATGCAGTGAAAACTTTGCTGCTCCAGTGGTGAGGACTAAGGAACTCGTGCTGGAATGGCAAAGCTCAGTTCTCCTGTGACATCAGAGTGGAGTCAGGGGTGAGGGATTTAGAAGAAATCACAGGAGTTTTAGGGTATGGGTAGGGTGTGGGGGAGAATGAGTCTTTGGGGAACTCTGGGTATCAAGTGTGAGAGCACTTAAAGGATTTTGAATAACAATGAGAATTTATTACTGAATTAGCACTGAATTCATGTTATTGTAAATTGTAGAAGCTCTCATTGGCAAGGAAGATGCCAATGTCTCTCTTCTTTGTTGCAGCAACTGCCTGCCCCTTTTGCCTTTATACATTTTCTAAAACCTTTTGCACTGTTGCTGTGTGAATAAGGGAGATACAAGATGGGTTTTGTACAAAAAGATCCATGTGAAGCTGCTTTTCCACAAGGAGTTCCTTCCTTGCTGACCCTTAGCAGCAGCAGCCTGACGTTTAAGGCCTCAGACATTGGCAAAGCTGCTGACAGTCCTCCTGCTGCCCTGACCCCAGGGCTCTGCCACCCTCAGAACAAGGCTGGATCTGTTCATTCCTGAATGTCAGAACGTGTATTGGTGGTGGGATTTTATGTTGTTAACTCACCTGTCCTGGATTTTTCTCCCTGTAGGAAGGCAGTGCTCAGATTGGCCTCCCTGTGCCCAAGTACTTGACTGCAGTGAGCTCAGGGGGAGAGCAAAGTGGTGCTGTAGCACCCATGACAGGCACAGTGGAAAAGGTAATTATAAAAACACGGGTGGGAAGTGAATTCTCCAGTATATATCCAAGTTCACTTCCAGAAATGGTGCTTCTGTACTGCCAGGAAAGAATCAGAGCCTGAAATGTCAGTGCTGTATGACTTCTAATTGGAAAAAGCCTTGTTTACTCTTGAGTTTTCAGCAGCCACCCAAGAGGTTTTAAGGCTTCCAGTTTTCTTTCTCTAGAGCTCTGGAAGTTCTGAATATTTAACTAATGCTACTGCTTAACTAATTTTTTCTTCATCTTAATTACTTTTTAAGTTGAAGGTCCCTGAAGTGCTAGAGACTGTTTGATTCATTTCATCTAACAAAAGAGTGAGTTAAGAGATGCACCTGCAAAAAAGGAAATACTCAGAATTGCCTTTTTGTTAAGCTGAGTGTTTCTTTCTTTTTCTTTAGCTCAGCAAGTCTTGTGTATTTCTCTGTACAGTGACAAAGTTTCCACAGAAGAGATTTCCATGAGGGTTTAGTGGTTAAGGGATTCTGGTAGCAATGAAAAAGCATGAACCCTTTCAGAGAGTCAAGTACCTTGAACATGGATTTCCTACACACTCTAAATCAGTTATAGCTGAATAACAAGGTGGCTCTGCCATCTTCTTTCTGGGTGTTGTATTTTAAAAGACTTTAGGGATTGGCTCCAGGAGGTCCTGCACTTTCTCAAAATAGAAGTGCTTAAGCCAGAAAGGGTCAAATATACATCATCTCTTCTAGTGTTCCATCTTTGATAGGTAAATGTCTTCCTGCTTGTCCTGGCAGCTGGCACTGAACCTCTCTCTGTAGCTCCAACTTCCCTTGAGTGTCGTCTAGAGAAGTCTCATAACCAATTCAGCAATAATAAAAATAATATGAGGCTGTTTTGCAAAACCACAATCACTCTGTGGATTGTGCTAGTCAAGATCCAGCTGATGATCGTTAATGGCATAGACAAGAATGATTTTTTTTTTTTCCCCCCCAATTTTCTCTTGAATTTAGGTGTTTGTGAAGGCAGGGGATAAGGTTCAGACTGGAGATCCTCTAATGGTTATGATAGCTATGAAAATGGAGGTAAGTGACATATAAAGGTTTTAATTACTGAGAAAATAAAAATCTGGTCAGAATTTTATAATTTTCAGTTGCATTACTGACGTGTGATGTAGCTTGCAGATGTCAATATCACTTCATCTGCTATGAAAGGAGTGTTGTGTCTGTCTAGATTTTAGAGGATTATATTTGCTGTGATTTTGCTAACAAATGATGATTATATAATCCATGGTATTCTGCAGCTGTTTTAGCATGCATTTGTTGAGCTGTGTCAGGCCTTCTCTCCCCTCCTCTCCTTTGACTTCTCTAGCAGAAGACTGTCCAGGTGGATCTCTTGCTCACTGATTTGATCCAAGCATATGGAATATCTGCAGTTACTTCAGACAGAAATTTAGCTAATGGAGACTTTGTAAATATGTACAGGGTTCTTTGTGTATAATCTTTATAATTTACATAAAGTTTTACCAAGAGTACACTCAAGATTTTGTGTAATTGTCCACATGGCATTCAGTGGACCACCACTTTGGCCATTTTATCTTGTCACAGTGTTTGACTGAATTACATTTTTTTTAGCCTTAACTAATTTGTCTTGACTATTAGTTTAAAATAAACCTCAGTTTGTGGAAGCAGAACTAACGTTGCTAGTTGAGAACATCTGCCTTTCCCTTATCGTGTCCTTTTTTAAATTATACTAAAATTACATGAAATAAACCAACTGTGCACCAAAAAAAACCCTAGACCCCAAATCCTTTGCAGTTGGATACTAAATGTGTTTCTGTCTCTCCAGCTGATACCTCAGACTGACATTATCTGAGGTGCTATTTTTTTAAGTGCTATTGAAATATAAATTGTAAAATTTAAAAAAGCAAATTATCATTTACATGAGTCTTGGCTTAGATGTGAGGATTTACTACCTGGTATTAAATGTTTTGATACTAGACTAGCCCTATGTAGAAAAACACCAAGAAACAAAGCTACAATGGAAAACTAACTTGGTACAATAACAAGCAAACCAGTTTGGGGTTGGTATGTAAACATGATGTTTTACTGTCATTAGTAGCTGTATTTGTATTTCATCTGGATTTTGCCAAATATCTGCTCAGTAAAGACCCCTCCTGGCCAGAAAACAAAAATATCTTTAGTAAATCTGCAGATTCCTCTTAAGGGAACAAATCTGCTATATGATTAACATTTTGGATTAAAACTGTATGATTTCTGCTTGGTATTTATTACAATAACAAAAACTGTTAGTGAAGTAAAATAACATTCAGCTGTTCATACTTCATAATATAACATTATATAGCATTTTTTGTCCCCAGTATACTTACCAAATATTCATGAGAAAACTTGAAAATGGACTAGTATAATGTTTTAAAAGAAGGTTTTAAATAAATAAATAAATAAATAAATAAATGTGTCAGAGGAAGGAATTCAATGTTTTTCAGTTCTAATTGCACCAAAGAGTAATATTAGCATTTGCTGGAGAGAGAGAGAGAAGGAAAAAAAACAGGTTCTCTGCTGGTTCACTCTTGCTCTGTTTTGTGCAGCACACCATACGGGCTCCAAAGGCAGGAGTGATAAAAAAGGTTCATTTCCAGGAAGGTGCTCAGGCCAACAGACACGCTCCACTGGTGGAATTCATGGATGAGGAAGCCGAGTCAAAATGAAATTCAAGGAAGGTCCATTTCATTTTTTCTACTTTGCTGATTTTCTCCCAGGAGAAGACTTCTTTATATTTTCAGCAAACTGTTTTGTATGAGAGACTGGGGAATTGGTTTCCTCTGCACTTCCTGCATAGGTTGACTGTAAATTATGCTGACTTCAGTGGAATTTGGGTATCACTATCCTGTAATTGTATTTATAACCCGTGGACCTGTGTGATTGTTGTTCAGTGGTTACATTTGCCTGTGGAAAGGCATTGGAGTGGAAAAAGATGTGGAACTCTCAAAGGATGGGAGAGGTTAGTAAGGACTGTAAGGGACAGACAGGTTGGGTTCTTCTGCTTCTTCATTCACAGCTGCCTTTTTCCCTGAGATTTGAGAAGACTGATTTGAAGGAAATCTGAAGGAGACAATTGGTTTATGAATTCATTTTCTGGTGAAATCCCTGATTGTGGCTTATGTTTTTGCCTTAATAGGGAATTCAGGATTGTTCCTTAGCCCTGAATCCTTCTTGGTCATTTCTATTACATCTTTTTTTCCAATTTACCTCAATGAGTAGTGAAAATTTGCATTTCAAAAATTATTTTAATTTACCTCAAAACATCTGATACAATGCATTTTTCAAATACATTTGCTACACTTATCGAAGTTGGAACATAAGTTGGTTTCTAAAAATATCATTTGAACTTTAAATATGAAGTAGTAACATAGAAAGATAAGCTTATTTATTACTTGGAAAGTGTGCCAAAATAAAATACTGACTTCAAAATCCTCGTTACTGTTCCCATATTGTTCATGTTCTTCTATGTTACTTATTGGCTGGAATGAAGTACATCAAGGTCTTTGTAATAACATGAAATATTACTCTGAATAATAGATTTTTTTTTTGTATCTGCAGGGTTTCAGAAGGGAAAATTGTTAGGTTTTTTGATATGCAAAGAAAATACTTGGACTAAGCATACTGATCGTTTGCTATACATTTATTTTAACTTATTTAAAAGCCCCTCAGAGAAACAGGAAAAGGGAAAGAAAAATATCTTTTAATTGTTGCAAACTTTGGATATATTTTTACCTTTCAGTTAATGTGATGTTCTGGTTGTCATGTGAAGTTTTGATATGCTAATTTAATTCAATAATATGGTCTATACTGCAGAAAGGAACGTATCAGATGCTGCAGTGATCCCAAACTTGTAGTCAGATCTGTGCAAATGGATCCTCACACTTACCTGAAATCTTGTTTCTGAATCAATATACAGCATCATGGGGAGTTCTCTGATCTGCTTCTATAATTGTGCAGCCTTGCCTGCAATGCAGAAAAACATTATAAAAAAGAATTGGCTCTGGATGGACTGTATATTAAAAGCATACTGTAATACTTTTCAATGTTCCTTGTAATCCTGTGGCCACCTAACAAAAAATTCCAGTGATCATTTTGTGGAGTATTGCCCCAGTGATTTTTATTTACTGCCAAATAAAAATTAAGCTTAACTTTCAATGTTTGATTTTGTTTTTCTCCGTTTTGTTCCTTCCTTGGTTGTTTCTGTCCATGCATTACTTTAGAGGGTTTTAAGCAACTGTTTCTGTAGCATCATCTGATGATGACCACAGTCTGCAGATCACATTTGGGAGGCAGAAATCCAGACAGTTGTGATGGGCTTCACTGCAGCTTAAGGTAAGGTTAGTGGCTTGTTTTATCTAGAAATTGGATCTGCCTACAGAAACATGAGCCTCTGCAGCCTGGCATTTATTTTTTGCTCACTACATGACAGGGCTGTGTTTCTACACTGAATCTGTACCAAAACACTGAAGCTCACAGCATGAGGTTCTCTGCCCGCTGAGGCTGCACAGCTTGTGCACACAGCCAGTGAAACAAGAACATGTTCCCTGGAAGCTGACAAAATGTCCTCCCTTAGGAACAAAGGGAGACAAAATGTTACCAGTTTTCATCTTCCCTCACTTCTGAAAATTAGCTGTTAAGTTTTTATCTCTCTAGGTTTCTACTGAGATTGATTTTTCAAATAATGATGGTTGTGTTTATTTCAGAATAAAAGCTCTTGCAGAAGTCACTGTCATAGTTTGCACACTTTAAATGTTTTACTGCAATGTGATTTAATTGAATTTAGAGATCCTCAAAGAATTACTAAAGTCAGGTTTTTCCTCTAACACAGAATTTACAAAATATTTAGAAATCCTTGGTTTATTACAAATAAATTCTTGTGTTATAAATGTGCATTGCTAAGAAGCACATGATAGTGACAGCTGTAACGAAACTGTTGTCTCTAGAACACTTAGTGGTAGATTAAGAAAGAAAAAAATGTTATTGTTTAAAATCAGTATTTTAGTATTCGAGCTAAAAGGGTCATCTCTGCCTGTAATTTGTTATCAATATACCTTTTCAAATGGTGCTGCAGTTAGGAAAAAACAGTCATGGGTGTTCCACTAACAATGAATCTGAACTGATTCTAGTTGTAATGATTTTCTCTTGCTGCCATGGGAGAGGGGGGGCCGGGTCACAGAACACGTAGTTCAGCCCCAGTTGATAGTCCCCAGGAAAGAACAAGGGTGTTGGTGTTCAGACTTGGCCTTCTGTGAGACAGGATCAGAGAGTAACGCTCTCCATGAGCCTGCTGGTCAGCCTGTGGGATCAGGTGTGGATCATCCTGCCCAGCAGTGTGAATGTTACCAGACCAAAATGAGAGCCTTTAGTAAACTTTAGTTATCCCCTGTGGGATCTCCGTCTGTCTTGCACTCTCCAGTGGCTGCCAATTACTGTGGCTTATACCCAGGGAAGATCTGTGGTCTGGAGCCTGAATCCATGCTGGATCAGTGATTAGGACACAGGGAGTGGAAAGCAGGAGGGCAGGACTGTGTTCTTATTTCACCCACTGATTCATGGTGGCTTCAGGTAAGTCACTTGGTAGATACTTATTTGTGTTTCCTCTTATTTGATGAAGTTGATGGCAACCAAAACACTGCAAAATTTGTGAACAAAGTGATTTATAAATAATTTTCAATGCTTGTTGGTAAAGTTGTAATTCCAGTTGTAGGCAATTTCTACTTGTAGGTTGTTTTTTAAACTTATATACAGCAAATATCAATACCAAAGTTATAAAGCTTCCAATGTGTATTGTATCCCTTGCTGTAATGGTTGTACTAGGTATTTACTAGAAAATCTTTGCTTCTGTCTTCATGCTGAGTAAAAAATGAATATTGGAGTGTTTTTTGGCAGGACCTTTAAAATTTAGTCAATGGTAGGGAGAAACATCAGTTGATCTGGGAATACAGCTCTTTTACTAAACCCAGCTGTACTATTTCAAAGGATATATCAACCAGTGCATTAACACAGGTATATTAGTTTCTGTTGATAATCCTTTTCAGTCAGATCAGGAGTTATTTGTCTGTGTTCTGTCTATTCTGTTTGTGAAACGCTGCACAGTGCTGTGTAGAATGTGTTTTCTGTTTAATGTTATCTTAAAACCTGTTTATTTTAACATGGATTCATTGTATAATCAACATAGATTATATGGTTGAATACTCCGTATTTTTTATTATAGGAGCAATAACTAAATAAAACATGTCTGGAGTCCTGCTGGGTTTTAAAATTGTGATAGCAGGATTTTAGCTTTAATCTGTGTCCTGGTTTCAGCTGGGAGTTAACCTTCTTCCTGGTTGCTGGTACAGTGCTGTGTTTTGGATTCAGTGTTGGTAACAAACTGCTGTTTTAGTTGTTGCTGAGTAGTGCTTCGTCTAAGGCAAGGACTTCTCAGTTTCCCATGCTCTGCCAGCGAGCAGGTGTACGAGGAGCTGGGAGGGAGCACAGCCAGGACAGCTGACCCAAACTAGCCAAAGGGATATTCCATGCCACAGAACACCGTGCCCAGCGTATAACTGGGAGAAGTTGTCCAGGAGCCACCAGTTGCTGCTTGGGGATGGGCTGGGCATCAGTCAGTGGGGACTGAACACCTGTATTGAGCATCACTTGTCTGTCTTGAGTTTTATTTCTTGTGCTCTTTTTGTTGTCTTGCTTTTCATTAGAGTTGTTGTATTATTTATTCAATTTTATTTCAATTATTAAACTGCTCTTTTTCCCTTTCTCCTCCCCATCCCAGTGGGAGGTGGTGGGTGGTGAACAAGCAGCTGCATGGTACAGAGGGGACCTTGTTGCTGGCTGGAGTTAAACTATGACAGTCCTTTTTGGCACCCAGTGTGGGGCACAAAGGGTGGAGATAACGACAGATCTGACCAGAGCGTGTAAAACAAATTTATTACAAGCATTCATTATATTAATTTAATAGTCATTGGACACAATGTTGATTTGTTTGTTCTCAAGAGGTGTTGCTCTTGTTCTCAGGTTTGCGTCATGCAGTGCCTCACTTGGTGTGTGTGCTCCCTTTGTGCTGTTTATCACCTCTGGGGGCTGGGCTAAGGTTGATTCTGTTGTACTTTGTAACACTGGCTTATGATATGATAAAATTGCTAATTGTGAAACAGAGAAAAACAATCACAAATGGAGGTTCTTCCAGGAAAGTTGCTGCTCCAGTGTCCAGTGGGCAGTTCCAAGACAGAGAGGAAGGGCTAATCTTACTCCTCTGATCCTATGGAAGGAAAGTCATCTTACTACCCTTACTTTTTATGTCTGTATTACTCCTGCAGTCTGCCTACCTCCCATACATGCAACTTAAAGTACTGTTTCATATATTAATACCAAAATATGTGCTCTGAATTGGGATGGCTTATTTTTATTAAGTAGAACATCTAAAGATGGCACATACAGAAAATCACTAGGATAGGGAAATAAGTGTGTCTCAGTCTCCTAAATTCTTGGAATCACCCGTAATTCTTTGTAGTGAGAAGGGAAAGCTGCTTACAGTTCAAAGGTGTAGGTTTTAATCTTGAAGCTGTGATGGCACTGTCTGGATTACAGCTTGGGAAATTTCAGAGCATTCTGGCTGCAAAGATCATACCTTGTTTTACAGAAGTTTTGAACTAAAAAATGTCTGTATCTCATAAAAATCAACTAGCTATGTCTTACTGCCCTTCATTTCTTAATCCCTGTTACTTGAAATGCCTAGATTTTAGTATATGCATCTCAGTACTAATGAGTTAAAAAACAAAACCCAGAAGTCCTGCATTCTGTTGTCTTTTAGGTGTCCTGGAAAGTTTCAATTTATTCAGGCCTGCCAGGGTATGGTTGAGTACATGAGAAATGTTCAGACTTTTTTAGGCTTGCTGACCTGACTTTCCTTCCTTTGTCACATTAATCTGTCCTGCTTCCTCCCAGAGACACTGTCATGTGGAACATGGCTCCTAATAGTGCCTTGGACTGGGTGTAGTAACTTGTTAACCTCTTGTGTAATGCAGGAAGGATGAAAAACTTAATAGAGGGTCAACACCCTTCCTTGCAACCTATTAATGATCTTCTGATATTGGTGGTGTCACTTTGCAGCTTAAATTGCTCAGACACCTACAGGAGAACTCACACTGTTTACTTCTTCTGTGCTTCTTTCAGAGCAGAAAAAAAACCATTATGGGCTGATACAAACATTCCATCTGTACCAGCTGAACAGCACAACCGAGCAGACCATTGGGTCTGTACCTGTGGATGCCAAGGAACTTCATGCCTTTAGAGTGGCACTGAATCTCCTTGTGCAGGACAGTTCATGAGACTTTGTCCTCTTGGTTAAACATGTGGTCAATTTGCAAGCAAAGGCCACAGTCATAACCACTTTATGACTGTTCCGTCAGTGTAAGATGAATTTGTGGTTTCACTTTCTAGTGCATAAAGTAGCTGACAAAAAGATGTGGGGATTAGAAAGACATTTCCAGGCCAAGCTGTCCCAGGTTATTGTTACACTTCATAAAGCTTTGAGCCTCTTCCTCAGAAAGTGCTCTAAGTGGAAGTTCTCAGCAAGGAGATTACACTAAATAGATTCTACATTGACTGAACATGAGACTTGCTCGTCTGTCTGCTCGAGAGCTCAAGTCAGGGTAAAGCAGCTCAGTGTTATATTCAGAGTTATGCATTTGACACACTTGGATTTAAAAAAAGATCACTGCCTGGTTCTCCCAGGGTTCACATGAGATGATAAAACACCATTGGCTCACACAGCAAAACAAGGCAAGCGTGTCAGCCTTAAAATAAATTAAACAAGTCATCATGTTACTGTGATCACAGTGATTATGCTGCCTGCAGATTGCACAATGACTATTTCCTTCTACTCTGTATCACTGGGTGCACGTGTCATGTTTACAAGCAGCAGAGCTGTGTATCCCTGCTCTGACCTGGGGTTCATCCTGCAGGGAGCTGTACAAAGGGAACCCGGAACAAGCCCCATTCAGGCACCTTACTCTGAATACAAATAAATACACCTTTTGGCGGCCTCGTGGTGCCTCTTGCTTTGCAAAGCATCTGGTTTTGCTCAGAAATGCTGAGGGTGAGGTTCAGACAGCATACACATCACAGAAATGCAGATCTCCATCTAGAGAGATACAGCCAGCCTGTGGGTGTGTGGATATGAGTGGAATTGGGGCAATCTGGCTGTGTCTGAAGTCTGTGCCTGCCTACTGCAGAGTGCCATGTATGGAGAAGGTAACTCAATCTAATCAGACTGGCTCAGGCTGAGGCACCAAACAGCCTGGCCATGGTGGCCAAGAGCTCTGGGTAAGTTAACTTCAGGTTCAGCAATTCAGACATACCCATGGAAGCACTCTGGAAATCAAGACAGAAGACTGCAGCTTCCACTAAAATCAGACACTAGACTTAGAGCTTAAATGGCAGTATAAAGCTACTCCTTTTCTCAGGTACAGTTTCATCTTATAAGTAAACTTAAATAGGGAAAAAAACAACCAAAAAACAGCAGCATGCACACTGGGAATAGCATCAATCTGCATTTCACATTTTTTTTTTATATTTCACCTTCATATCACTGAATCGTCTTTTTGTCATATTTTTATCTGCCCTGCTTAGAAGCAATTAAGTATGATTTTCCATACCTTTCACAATGGGAATTCATAATGTAGAGGGATTTAGTAAGTTAGGGCAATCAAATCACAAGTCAGTCAAAACACTAAACACAAACACAGTGTGCCCCCAGACACTCCAAAAACCCACCAAGAGACCCTGCAATACAGGAAACCAGCAAGGCTCACGGGCATTAGGGAAAAAACAAGCCACTTAAAAATCCTGCCTCTGTCCTGAGGAATCCACTGCAATCACAGCTCATCTCTCAGATTATTGTTACATGTCGCAATAATTTTCCAGACTGTGTCTCCAGATCACAGGTGGGCTGTCACAGCACGTCAGAGTGATGGCAATTAGGTAACTTGATGAGATAGATTTTCAGGTTTGGCTTTGTCTCCCCTGCCGTGGTTCACGTGGACTGGGCTGGTGTGCAAGTGTTTGTGGCTGTTCACACAGGCCACTCTGCAACCATCCTCAATTCCAAAACATGCTTTTTGGGAGGGTTCAAGGTATGCAGGCAACTACAGTCTTTCAGGATAGCTGAATTCACACATATGTTTAATATCCAGACAACTTTTAATTTTCCTGTTCAGAACAGTAGCACAACTGGACACTTCACAGGACAGGCCTGATTTTCCTCACCAAACACGATTTAACTCCTCACACTCCATCTAAGTTTTTCTTTGATTTTTAGCAAAGTAAGCAAGCAGCAAATTAGACCCTTTTCTATAAAAATAGACATATAAACCCTGAACATCTATGATGAGGAATGTCTTTTTGAAGTCTTAATTTCCTTCTAGTGTGTGCAGTCATACCAGTCATGTAATATAAATACAGAAGCTTACTTTAATAGCTCCCAGCTCAGCAGGAGATGAGAGAATAAGATCAGATCTCAAACCTTTGTCCTTCACAACAGCAGTTTGCCACGGCTGTGAGTTTTATCAGCAAATATTCTGCTTCCCCAAACTTCTTCAGCTGCCAAAAGCCTGCGGTAGGTAGAGTAAGCTTTCCTGGGAAACAAACAACTGTCTGGGATACTGGTACAAACTGTGATTTAACCACTGCAGCCTCTTTTGACAGTACATCTGCTTTACTGCAGAAGGGCTACTTCTGTCCACAGCCCCCAAAGGGGATCCCAGCCAGGAGCAGGGAAATCAGGGAAATCTTACAGGTGTGGAGGTGCTCCCGAACGAAGATGCCTGTAAAGCTGCTGCTCCGAGACCTCGCCTTCCCCAGGTCTCCGTGGCTGCTCCGCAAACGTCTTCTGCCTCCCTCGCGAATCCATCCTGGAAAACCCGAGGGATTTTCCCATCGCGCCCCTTTCCAAGTCCAGAACCCCGGGAACAGCGGCCACGCCCCTGGAGCCCGGCGGGGCCGGCACAGGCGCTCACACTTGACCCTTAACTTTTGATATTGAAGAAATAAGAACATACAGGAAGCTTTCCCGACAGAACAGCCGGTCCCGGTGTGAGGAGCCGCTGGGACCCCCCACCCCCGACTGCCCCCTCCGAGCCCACCCCCGACATCCCCAGGAGGCCGGGGGGGACTCTCTCCCTCCTCCCCTTCCCCTCTCGGGCCGCTCCCCCCGGTGCGGTGCCCCCACCTCAGCTCCGAGCGTGCACCGTCCGCTCCCGGCGCTCCGGGGACAGCGGGACGGGCCGGCCCCCGCCAGGGCTCGCGGCCCCGCACTGCGCATGAGCGGGGGAAGGCGGCGGAAGGGCCCGTGAGGAGCCGGAGCCGCCGCCGCCGCCGGAGGAAGCGCCGCCGCCGCCGCCGCCCTCAGAGTCCGCCCGAGCCGGGAGGGGAGAGGCCCGCACAGCCCCCACCATGGTGAGCGCCCGCCCGGGGCCCCTCCCGGCCCGGCGCGGCGCCTCGGGGCCGGCCGGGGGCAGCGGGGCCTGCTCGTGGCGCGCTGGGTGCCCGGGAGCGGCCGAGGCGCCGGTGCGGGGGCTCCGCAGCCCGTCACGATGTGCCGGGTCGGGGGTTCCTCGTCCTCCCGCCGGGCAGGGCGGGGAGGGCGCGCGGGGCGCGGGCCGGGGCCGCGGGGAGCGCGGCGGGGGCTGCTCTGGGCAGGGGCCTAAGCGGGGGGCGCCGGGATCCCGCCCAGGCCTCCGGAGGCCCCGCACGGCGGGAGGGGCGCGCTGGCACCTGGTGCGAGGGCTCAGCACCGCCGGGCGGGACGGCGCGGGAGAGCCGAGCTGGGGGCAGCCCGGTGTGTGCCCTGAGCCTGCCCTGTGCCCGCGGCAGCGCTGGGAGGGAGAACAGGGAGCTGCCAGGAGCCGGGGGCTGCCTGGAGTTTTCCTCAGGATTTCGGGCGGCTCAGAGCCCATTAAGTGCTGTCAGTTCTCGGGGAAAACTTGGGTGTGTTGATGCTCCTTAAGCTGGGGTTATGTTGCAGAATTTCTGGATAATTGTTCTTATGTTTTGGGGAGGCTCCTATTCATAGAAGGGCTGTAAATGAGGACCTTGCAAAGGTCCTCCTGGTGAAGGTCTTGGGACCTTGTAAAGGCCTCTCTTGCATTTTCTCTGTAATATTGCTTTCGTTATAGCTGAGGATTTGCTGTGGACTCCCAAATCAACTGACTTTCTCCCTTCTGTCTTCTAGAGGGAAACCGCAGTGGTTGGAACAAAATTTGCTGTTTTTGTTTGCCTAAACAAAAGAAAAATACATTCTTTTGCTTTAAATAAGAGGGGTCCATATTGGTTTCCTGCATAGTGTCTTATGCATCAAATGGAACAAGTTTATAGTTGTACTTCTAAGCTTTCCCTGTATACAAACGTTGTACAGCTTTAGCTGCACCTGTACAGTTTAAATTAGTACTTTTCTATAGCAGCAGTATTGTCTTAGGAAAGGTGTAGGAGGGAGTCTTAACATCTACTGGTGTACACTTACTGGTATAAGGATATCTTATACCTGCTGTTAATACTATTCTGTCAAGTTGTGTTAAAAACATATTAAAAAAATTACAGTGTCACCTTTAATTGATGGAGTTACCTTGGCATAAAAATTTGGTTAGCCAGCATTTAAATTAGTGGTGTGCAGACCTCTAATAAACTTGTCACTGTGTTACTAGTATAATTTTTAATTGAATATTTTGATGTAGATATTCACTTGCGTTTTTTATGAGAGCTTAAGACTGAAGCCTGGGTAAACTTCAACCTGTAGAGGTGTCTTATTGTAATTCTGCAGGTCTGGGACTGTCTCAAATAGCACTTACACAGTAACGTTACACAAGTTTTTATGAAGATTTTTTTTCCATAAAAATCACCTAGAGCTGTCTCACAGTATATCCAGTGTAGGTATGCAAAGTAAATACACAGTTGATGTCTTGTACATGCATATTTTATTGACTGGCTGCGTGGTTAGAAATTTAAATTGAACAATGCTGTAGCAAGTGGCCAAGTTACAGAAATAGTAAGGGACCTTTTTCTGAGAATAGCTTTTTGTGAGAAACAGCAGAATCCTATCTCATGCTTAGTCTTCTTGGAAACACTAAACTGAAGAACCAGCAGCCATATTCTGTGTAGCAATTCTATACCAATAGATTGGTATTTATCAGACTGGAGGGAGAAGGTGGATACTCTGTCATGGCCCCGAGCAGAGTTGTTCGGCCCTGCACAAACAACTGTGTTCAGGTTGTGCTTGTTGACTCCCAACACCCAGGTGAAAGGATGACATAGACACTGAAGTGGAACTAAATGACAGGCTGCATCTTGTAGAAATAGTAAATACAGGATTGTTTCTAGTGCTTGGGCACAGGATTCTGTACCTGTACTTGTGGTATGTCAGAATCCTCTGCTTGGTTAGGGGAAAGGTAGGGAGACTTCTCCACAGAGATCCAAAGATATCCCATTGTCCTGCCCATGTGCACTACTGCTCTGGCTTGTCCTTCCAGTGGCTGTGCCTGGTTCCTGGGGCCAGGTAACTTGTCCAGCACAGTAAATGTTTGGGGCCTGGCTTGTCCTTGCCTCTGCAGCAGTGCCAGCTGGAGCACTGCTGGCTCTCACTTGGTCTCACCAGTGTCCAAATGGCCAGTGCCTTCAGGACAGAGGTTTCCTGCCTTAGAACCGTCTGTGTCCAGCATCTGGAATAGACACCACACAGCCTGGTGGGCTCACTCTGGCCTTTTAGGCAACTTGGACAGTGTTTCTGTTCGGTGCTCAGGGACACCTCGGCAGAGTGGCTGCGATTGCTGAGAGCAGTCTGCCTCTTTCACCCACTCTTTTGAGCTGGCTGAGCAGCTCCTGTGGAAGTGGTCTTCTTCAACTTCCCTGGTAGGGTGTTCCTGCTTCACCTCATCATGAGGACAAGTGCTGTGCCCACAAATAAAGGCAGAGCAGTAAGCTGGTCCATTTTACTCTCAGCCGTCTTCTCTGAAGAGAAGAGCTACTACCTGTACTATTCTGAATAATTTAAGAAATTTAGGACTACGTGTGGTACTCCAGGCAAGTTTGTGAGTATCCATCCATATCTATGTCCAGAGCCAAATGCTAACCTTGTCTCTGTTTACATTATCTATCATACTGTCCAGTTTGTGTTCTCTGAAGAATATTTCTATGCTGATAAATACATAATTTCTTACTGTAAACCTCAGCTGACAGGAAGTTGTAAAATTCAGTATTACAAGAATTCCGTGTCTGACGCTGTCTTTTGTAATGTTATTGTAGTTCATGACATTGTTATGCAGTGTTTAACTCAACAGGCTGTTCTGCAGGGCTATTTTCTGTGGTGCATATTCATGTCTGTAGCAGTTTGTTGATATTAAATATTTTGGGGTTTGGTGTCCCATAGTAAAACTTGTAGATTCTTGGCATTACACTTAAGAGTAGTTGGAGTGCTAGACAAGATGGTGCATGATGTTGTTTCCTCTCTTAGCTTACCAGAGATCCCTTTGAACTTAGGCTGTAAAATCACTTTTAACTAGAGCCATGAAAAAATTATTCAGAAATATGAACTACTCTGAGAACAAGGTGTGAAATTTATTATGTAGCTCTTGATATTTTACTCATGTTTTATGGTGCCAATGCAAATATATGGTATGAATGCAGCTTCTGAGGGCTGAATAGAGCTTCTGCCCCATACCAGAGCTAAGAATGCCAAGCAACTGACTGCTTTATTTTGTCCTTTTTTAGTTGGAAAAGCCCTGATTTTTGGCATTTCCTTCACTGTTCAGGTTAATGTGAATTACCATTACATCTTCTGTGTAGCTATATATTGACCTGCCTGCATGCAGGTACTAAAATTATTTTATCCACTAAAAGAACATTAGAAGGTATAAAAAGCAATTTTAATTTTATGTTGCTTGTGGTTTTTTCCTTGGATTTTGTATCTCAGCAGACTTTGTAAATGGTTTTGTTCTGTTCCACTGCAGACAAATGGATTTCACATCAGTTTGAAACTTGAAGCTTAAAAATGTCCTGATTGTCTTGCTTCTTAGAGAAGCTGCTGTGGAAAATAAAATGTAGTTAAAGCACGTTTGTTTACATTATGCAGAAACTATGGCTATCTACTTTAATTGTTTTATCTTTAATTTGGATTTTTTTTTTTTTTGGTCGTATACATGTGTGCCATCACAGTTGGTGGATTAAAATGCACTCCGGTGTATTCACAGATTTCTGTTATGATTAACTTTTGTTTTCGTATCAAACATAAATGCTCACGGTTTTGCCTTTTAGGCTTTAGCCGTATATTTGTTGAATACCAGCTGTAAACCGGGCTATTTGCAGGTGTCTTGTGGGTTCCTTTAATGGATACGGCCCAAGGTGGGGTGATTCAGGCCCTGTCGGGGGTGATATTCTCCTGACCAGACCATTAGTGCCGCATCAAGCCGTGACAGAGCTGGAGTCGGGTGAGGTTCTGGGATGCCGAGCCCGTTGTGTGCGGGCTGGAGTTACTCCGGGATTGAACTGACGTCAGTGGGGTCCTTAGGAAGTGCAGGGATGCTTCCCGCAGCCAGAGCTCTTGCTGGAGTTTAAATGCAGGCGGTACAAAGGCCTAGACTTTGTGGAGGTTGATACTATTTTAGAAAAGGCTTTTACCTGTCACGTGCGTGAGAACTTAACAGGCTTTTCTGTGAGTCCTGCCTGAAACAAAGGCACAGATGTCACATCGTTCAGATTCCCTTAGTTAGCAGTGAAATGAGCAGGAATCGGATCAGCTGTATCGATGCCTGGGATGGGAAGGGTGGAAAGCAGTTACTGGAGTGACTGTGTGAATGCCTTCTTTGGGGGCCTTAAGAAATTCTGGGCTGCAAAACTGATTGTGCACTGCTTGTCTGGCTGGTGGCCACATATGACCTTTGAGCAAAGTCCAAGAGCATGGTTCTGGTGGGGATTCCCAGCTCTCCAGTCCAGGCAGTGTGGGATGTTGCTCTTTCCCATGGACATTATCCAGGAGAGTGGAGCCCTCGTTTGGCTATCATCTATCCAGAAAATATTGATGACCAGTGTGCAGAGCTGATATTTGAATCTGAGCTGACTAAAAACTGAGTGTAAAGATATGGAAAAACAATGTTGTGGTCAGAGTTGGTAGATCAGTTCTAGCATTTCTTGTTCTCTAGACTGGGAAGAAAACTACTTCAGGAAGTAAAAGCCCAAGTATTTTTATTTTTTTTTAAATTTGGAATCTTTCACTGAAGTATCTGATCAAGGAAAGGTTATTGAATTAGAATATTCAAATTTGGTACTT